TATATACACAAAAGAAATTCACTTCATTGGAGAATTCATTGGTTAAAGGACCATTAAGCATATACAGCTCTGGTCAAATAACATCGGATACATTGATTAGTTGAAAATCCAAAAGAAAGAAACGCATCCCCCAAAAAAACAAGCAAAAAAAGAAAGAAAAAAAAAAACCTGGAAGAAAGGCGTGGCCTTCCCTTTGCCTATATGACTTGCCTGTGTACCCTTTGGCATCCATGAAATGATGATCAAAGGGCAATTGCATCCACGTATAAACAAGTCATTTTCAGCGTCTTCTTTCTCTTCTTTCTCCACATATCTCCGCCACCTTTCTCAAGACTCTTTTTTAAGATTTTAAGCTGCAAAACAAACGAGCTGATGATATGATATGTTTCTTGAATATCTATCTCCTCCCTCAAACCCCAATTTATATATAGTGACATTCTCAATATGAGGTAGAAGTAGAACTTAGTTATAGATGGAAGAGGTCATGATGCCAGCCTTCGTCAAAAGGAAAAGAAATTTGCTGGTAGCACAATGTAGAGGATGGTGACAAATTTGCATGGTCCCCTCCCTAGCATTATTCTTCTTCGAAGTCATACTTATCCACTAACAAAGAATGCTTTTATTATTCTTTTAACGCAAAATTAGGTCACAAAAGATTGAGAAAATCTTACTCATTCCATGTGGAAAAAAGTGAAATTTAAAGCGAGTGAAAGAATAGGGATTGCAGAAAGGTTTGTCAACAGGTGGCATGGCATGCAATGTGACAATTTTTATTTTTATTTTTTTGTTTGGTTGTTGTTGGTGGTTAAAGTAGTCATAGGCTATGAAATAGAAGTGCATGTATAGATAAATAGAGGAGGAATATTTATATACATTCTTTTCTTGCATCTTTATGCCTTTGTTGTAGAGTACAATCACCTTGCACCGTCCACCTCTTAACACCTCATTTGATTGGAATCTGAGAATCTTTTTTAGTCCAAAGGCACTAATCAAATTAGTGGGAGACATTGCCATTATTATCTGACCAACGACCTCAACGCGGAAAACATGGATGCCATTGCCATTGCCATTGCCATTGCCATGCTTGATGAATTTCCAAAATTTATCTTTTTTGATGAGACGATAATGCTTGGAAGCTGAAGGGCTTTGGGATGGTGATAGCACGGACCTCTCTCTTTAATTGCTTTTCTGTCTGAACCTTGGTTTTTTAACAAGTTTGTATAAAACTAATTTTTTAATAACTTTTGCTATAGGAATTCCAAAAAAACTTATTAAAATTTTTAACCTACACATCCATCTAATACACAAAAAATTTTCCTTCAAATTTTCTTCTTTTCCCTCCCTCACCCGACCCACCATGTCCTCCCGCGCCAGCCACCGCCTCCACCACCGCTCCCTGCGCCGGTTAACAATTCCGGCACTGCCTTCCTCTTTTTTTTTTTTTCTCTTCCTCTCCCTCACCCCCTCTCCTCTCGTCCTCCCCTCCCCTCTTCCCCTCTCCCTCCCCTGCCACCTTCCCCCTCCCGCGGGGGAGGGTGGCGAGGAAGAGGGGAGGAGAAGGGGTGACGGGCAAAAGCTAAAAAAAAAAAATCCATGGCTTCCATGTGTGGCTGCTGAGGGCGACGGGGATGAGGGAGGGGGGGAGAAAAAGAAGTGGCGGCCAGAGGGGGGTGGCGGGGCAGAGGGAGAAGAGGAGTCGCAGGGGAACGAAGGGGAAGGAAGGAAAAGAAAAAAGGAAGAAAGAAATAAAAGAAAAAAGAAAAGAAAAGGAAAGAAAAAAAAGAAAAAAAAATTTTCATCTCACAAAAATTTTTTTACAATTTTTACAGTAATCTATAATAAAACTTTATACTAATACTCAAAAAACTCACCTTCAAACAGCCTTGATGTAGTAAAATGCTTCAAGAACTTTTATCCTTCTATTTCCTAAGCGGGCAAGCACTGAAGGGACAGTTTGACTGTTGCGGGCGGGCCGGGGGGAGGGGAAAGTGAAACTAACCTGTAAATACTACATTGGATTAGGTGTAAATTGACCTTTCCAATGTGGCTTTCGCAGACCTCCCGTATGAGGAAATTCTCCCAGTTTCTTCACTTGGTATAGGAGTATAAGTTTTGAAAAATCACTGGATCAATGGCTCAGTGGCTCTTTCCTGAACTGTAGATGAGGGTTCAAATTTCATCTGCAGTGAAAAAAATCTAAAAGTTATGTCATAGCACTTTTTTGATTTAGTTGGATCTGTATATCTATTAGTCCCCTACCACAGCCTCTTTAGGCTTCCCCTCCCCTCTAGATTAGGATAGAGTAAGTTATACAAATGTATCGTTATTGACAAAAAAGAAAAAAGTATAAGTTTTGAAACCTTATTTTCGGCTATAACCAAGCATACAAACACACCAAGATTGCCGTTCTCCAAAAATGCTATTAAAAATTTTATGGTAAAAGTTTTTCATCTGCATGTACTGTTACAATAAAATATTTTTAAGATATCTTCAAAAACAACTAATTCAATTGGATCCCAGTTTGTTTGGATAAGTCCAGTCCGTTAAGTTTTCATGAGTATATTTTATTCCTTTCCCTGACCAACCTCCAATGAGAGCGAGACTACCCATTTTTAATCTTCAAAATTCTATTACTACGCTCTCCATAGATTTCTCAAGTGCTATTAGCTTCTAATTTTGAAAAATCTAGCGTCTGATGTTGTCTTCGACTATTTCTTCTTTCAGTTTTTAGCTTCTTTAAAGCTAAAAATTAAGAATTAGAAAATTATAGTAATTTACAAGAGACCGCCTACTCTATTGAATTCTAATACTATATAAAGTTGCCCTTCAAAAGTCAGAATCTCTTAAAAGTAAATGTTATATCCTTTACCGATCTAACCACCCAGGTGGACGTGCCGGAGTGGTTATCGGGCATGACTAGAAATCATGTGGGCTCTGCCCGCGCAGGTTCGAATCCTGCCGTCCACGCTTTTGTGTTATTTTCCTTTTTCACTCCACTCATGCATTTTTCTTACCACTACAGTGTGATCACAAATTGATAACCTAATCCCACATATTCAACAAGTTCAGTTCAGAGACTCCTCCCAGTCCCAGCTGAAGCTAAAATTCCAGATTGCATCTTCTCTTCAAAGCCAATTTTTGACGTTAACCAACCAAATTGAAATTCATACATTGCTATGTAATTTGTTTTGAAATAAACACACACACACACATTACCAACCTACCAAAGAAAGCCAAAATTCATACAGGGCAAAAGCCTCGACAAATGAATCCCCCTTCTCCTTCCGGAGACGGAAAAAAATAGAAGGAAAAACCCGCCCACATTCCACAAAGACCGTTAATAATGCATAAACTATCATCGAAGCTCATTAAAACTCTCAAACTGGACTGCAAAACCATAAAACAAGTCCACCAAGTCCATGCCCAAGCTATCACGACAGGCCTCATTTCTTTCCATCCTCCTACTCCCTTCCTCGCTCAAATCCTCCACGCTTTCACTTGCCTCCTTGCAACTTTTTCGCCCTCCATCTCCACCGATCCAACTTTCTCATCCTATGTCACCGCCCTCTTCAATCTCATTCCTGACCCATCAACATTTTGCTACAACACAATCATTAGGGCCCATACCCTCCTCTCTTCCCCTGAAACAGCCTTGGCTTTGTACGCTAAAATGTGCCAACTCTCCATCCCACCTGATACCCACACCCTCCCTTTTGCCCTTAAAGCTTGTGCCCGGATGAATTCCTTTTCACTTGCCAAAGCCCTTCACTGTCAAGCCCTCAAACTCGGGTTTATAGCTGATTTATTTGTTTGTAACAATCTCATTCACGTGTATTCTACTGCCGGCGATGTTCACAATGCGTATAAGCTGTTTGACAGGAGTTCCTACCGAGATACCGTTTCATATAATGCGATGATTGACGGATTTGTTAAGGCTGGTGACACCGTGAAGGCGAGGGAATTATTTGACCAGATTCCTAAAAAGGATGCAGTTTCTTGGGGTACCCTTTTGGCAGGGTATGCAAAACTGGACCGGTCCAGAGAGGCTATTGACCTCTTTGATCAAATGCTTGTGTTAGGAGTTAAGCCTGATAACATCGGACTGGTTTGTGCACTTTCGGCTTGTGCACAGCTGGGAGAACTGGAAAAGGGGAAAAGAATACATGAATACATCTTGCAAGATAGGATTCAAATCGATGCATACTTGGTCACTGGTTTGGTGGATTTGTATGCCAAATGCGGGTGCATTGAGACTGCTAGGGAGTTGTTCGAGTCCAGTCGTGAAAAGAACTTGTATACATGGAATGCAATGCTGGTTGGATTTGCCATGCATGGTCATGGAAAGCTCTTGTTTGATTACCTCACCAGAATGGCTGATGCTGGTATAAAACCAGATGGGGTGACATTTCTGGGCGTATTGGTGGGGTGTAGTCATGCAGGTCTAACCAATGAGGCTAGGAGGCTTTTCACGGAGATGGAGGGTGTTTATGGAGTCCCAAAGGAACTGAAGCACTATGGTTGCATGGCGGATTTGCTTGGACGCGCAGGCTTGGTTGAAGAGGCTGTGGAGATGATAGAGAAAATGCCCATGGGGGCAGATGTTTATGTGTGGGGTGGTTTGCTTGGAGGTTGTAGGATGCATGGCAACACTGAGGTTGCTGAGAAAGCCGCACAGCGTGTGATAGCCATAACACCTGAAGATGGTGGGGTATATTCTGTCTTGGCCAATGTTTATGCAAATGCAGAGAGGTGGGATGACTTGGTGCGGATGAGGAGATTGAGTGATAGAACAAGGGTCAATAAAAGTGCCGGTTGTAGCTTGATTCAATTAAACGGGGTATCACATGAATTTGTTGCTGGGGATGATGCTCATCCTCTTGCTGAGGAGATACATTTGGTTTTGAATGTACTTGAGCAGCATAAATCTGAAGGTGTCTGTTAAAGTTTGAAAGACACAGCATGTGAAATTTGTCTGGCTTCCTTGACAAAGAAGGTGGCTTAAAACAAAGCGCGAGAATTAGGTAAATATTGCATCATGCCCATTAATTAGTGCCAACAAAAATATTTGGCCGAAGTGTAAGATCATGTCTATCAAGACTGTTTTCGCCGGGAGGCAAAATTTTGATACATGCGAGAGAGAATTTACAAGAGAATTAAGCTAAAAAGTAACTAAAAATGTCTCTTAAGGTGATTATGCCTTCTACTTGTCGGCTGCTGGCCTCAATGACAATAACACGCCGCACAGCTGGAATGAGCGTAAGACAGGATGAGTTAAACTTAATATATAGAGCAGTTCAAGAAGGTTTAACAAACAGGACCAAGAATAAGTGAACCTTGATCTGAGAGAAGCTCCATCACCCTATACAAGGAATCAAAACGAGTACAGGTCTGATACCGACTTTGGCTAGTTACATCTGCAATCTCCAGCGCCTGAATCACAGAATCAGTACAGGAAATTCAGAAACTTCTATAAGGACAAAATACTCTCCTCGCCTCTATTGTTCAGTGTCAAATGTAAAAGGTGCGATTACATGTCTAAAAATGGCTCAATGCAGAAACCAACCACGTCAAGACTAGGCCAGAAGTCAAAATGAACGGACATTCACTGAAAATCTTTAAATGTTTGTTTATCATCAGATTCAAATGATAATTCTCCTGTAGACACCTGGGATTTAAGATTTTTTTGTATTGCTTTGTTCAATCTCCAGAGATGTGAAGTTTCTGGTGGATTTCATTATGATATTACTTTGTGGTTTCTCAACATACCACAAATCTCAACTGTCTACTTGACCTCATTTATCTCAATAGCTTCGTCCACACCACACATGCTTTATCTTTCAATGGAGTCACCAGATACAAATTCTCATGGATATGGTATCTTGAAGTACAACATGACTCATTTCAGGAATCCAATTACTTGAAAACAAAAAGCAAGTAATATAGCTGCTTAAAAAGTTGCTAGAAGGAACAAAAGCAGCACAGGAAAATGGTATTTTAGGTTACGCCCAGATCTAAAGAGCACGTAAGGCTGCTACAAATATATGAAATAACACATGGTGAACCTTTCTTCCATTCAACAGATCCTTTTGAGTGTTATGAACTGTTACTGCCTTGTATGCAATACATCTGAACACTGTCTACTGATAAGTCAAGAGATCTCTCATCTTTTATTAGGATCAGATGCAATAGATGGGAACTACTAATATGTCAAAGATGCTCTGGTCACCCACAAGGTTTAAAATATAACAGATGCCAGAAAGTATGATTCATGTCAACTTACTTGAGATATAATTGTCTGATCAAGCTGAATACGAGTATAACCATTGCTGTTTGCCAAGGAGGTGATATCACTACATGAACATAGTCATGTTACCATTTAGGAAGTTTATACAAGTGAAAGAAATTGATGTTTTAGCCATTAACCTTAGTAGATTTGTAAATACTTCGGTAGTTACCTCCTACAGTACACATCTACAAGAATCCCATTGTCATCAACTATAGGTACAGAACTTACACGTGCTGTCAAGAAAAGATCAAAAATCAGAAAAGGTATATACAATTTAAGCGAATAAGATAGTATCATAATAATAAGATTTAGAGAGTTCAGAATTATAGTGATCTCCATGCAAGAATAGGAAAGTGAAGGAGTGACATAATGATCAACTAAATGGGACACTGAAAGATACACAATCTTTCTTAACAGGAGATGTGATTGCAAAGTAGCTCGTTTCTTATAATGTTTTCAGTGTGCAATAGCGTTCCAAAGAGAGAGAGAGAGTTTAAAGTATACAGTAGGAGAAAAAGAGAGTTACACTGCACCTTGGATTAATAAATTAAGAGCTGAACTAAGTGGCTCACTGGCTCGCAATGTTAGCAGTAGACGATCACCGCTCTTCCCAATTTCTCTAGCCCACGTACCTAATGGCAGATTACCAACTGGTTGCTGCAGTAGAGGCAGAAACTCCAGATGTCTTCGAAGATGCCTGCATATATCTACAATTTAAATAGAATGTTAAAAAATAATGGTTGACGTCAACAGCAGACGAAAGAATTAATTGAGTACTAGACATCAAAGGTAAGGAAATCTCACGTTTTAGTATTCCGGAGAGGCATGCTATGAATAATAAGTTAGGACAAGACCCATCTTCACTTGAACTTAAAATTGGAACTGCAGAAATCTTGTTGTGCAGAATCCTCAAAGCCACATCTTTCAACGACTCATCTGGACCAGCCTGTTGGTTGCACCAAATGAACATAGAAAGGGGTTTTACCTGCTCTTTGTAAACTGGAGGTAAAAGTTGCTAAATAGTCGAAACCAGAAAACTGAATCTTCAAAAACTTTGCAATGAGAAATACGCTTGGTTTCCTGATCCATGAACCAAGAAAAGAAGACAAAATAACCATGATACATCATCTTATTAAGAATATTTACTTGGATTAAAGCCGTTCGGCAAAGCGGCTGTGAGGTCCCACTGACTTCTCTATGATGTCGAAATTTTATATCTTTCCAAGCAGAAATTGTGTGCTCTTCAATTTCTTCATCAGTCAGTATAGCACGATTACGGTCAAGCTGCAGAAAGTTTGAATTTTATGCAGTCACACATGAACGAAAATGGTAATATTGGAAAATTGCTCGAAACAATGACATGAAGTGTATGATAGGAAAAAGAAAAGAGTCAAAGACTATCAATCATTTTGAATCATCATAATGGCTTCGATACAGGTAATCAATTTCATTTAGGATTCTCATTATATTGACAAATCATAAGAACGATTATGCTATTTCTCAAGTATCACCAGGAATAGGAAGCCTAAGATCAAAAGATTTAACTGCAGAAAAAATTGTGAACTTAGGAATTTTGACGCTTTACCTTGACTTTTATAAGTAAAACTTTTGTTGAGTTGCATTATAACAAGGTTAAGAAATCCCTTTACATGCTTGAGATTAGGATACCTACCTGAATGTTTTGGTATCCAAAGTCTCAACAATAGCTAAATTGCAGTAAGTTAGATGTTGACAGTATGATTACCTACTCCAAGATGGTAAACAAGTTGCCCATTGAATCCAGCACTTGATTCTTTTACATATTAACATGTGCAGAACCATTATGTAGTTACTTTGTACTATACATTGCACTGCATAAGATAGTAGCACTACATGTTCACTCCTCTCTTTCCTGTTTGAGAGATTACCTGATATCCTTTAGAATTTCTTAACATTGATACTTGTAAAGGTAGGACTTGTCCACCTTGGAAAGTGATAAGTGATTCATATCACAACAGGTTAACAACTTAAGAGGGCGAAATTAGATTCATCTCTGCCACTTGGTAATCATTACAAAAAAATAAATAAACACAACTTTTCTCTGAATATTAAACTCAGATTGTTAACTTTGGAGTGTTTAGAAAATCCCTATTTAATTTTCCCTTGGTTTTTTTATTTTATTTTATTTTTTTTAGGGGTGTCCCGCAGGAGTGAACCCCACAGACTATTCCCCACCCTCCACAACTTGCTGGCGGCAAGGTTCAAACCAGGGACCTAAGGCTCCATCTTCAGCAACCTCAACCACCAGACCAAGCCCTGGAGGGCTTAATTTTCCCTTGGTTATGAAAGCTTAAATAGATGATTCAATTACTCTTAATTCCTAGGAAGTAACAGCTGGAATATGAAAATATACCTGCAACAAAATCGATATGAAATCGGAGGCAGTCAACATCCCCACAATCTTTGTGTTTTGTTCATCCCACAGAGGAAGAACTGCAACACCCTGAAATCAAATAATTGAAAAATGCCACAATGTTAAATAATTGGAAAAGGGTTAAAAAATAAGAAAGAGTTTCATAAATAGAGAAAAGGATTGAAGAAGAAACAAGAAAATAAGAAGCTTTTAATGGTTTTTGCATTTACCAAGAATAAAACTACATAACAGTTCAAATTGATTGACTTGACTTATCCATAAGGCCTTCCTATAATTCATTAAACAGTTGTTACTTTCCAAATTAAAGAAAGAGTGTTACTTTTACGGTATCCATAAGTATATAGAAGTCCATTTCTAGGAAAGCGAGTTTAAAGTCTCTCTTTAAAAAAAACACTGAATTTAAGAAATCAACTACTCCCTATCCCTCCTTCACTGTTATTTTTCTTCTCTTCTTTTGAAATTCACATCTTTATTCTCAAACACATTAGAAATCATCAAACATCATCCAATCCAATCTTCCCAAAGCATATGAAGATTCAATGATGCATCTTCACAGCTGGTTTACCCTTTCAAACGATAAAAATGAAAATCAACCACAATATACTCTTAAGGTCCAAAACCAATGACAATTAAACGACAAAATATTTATAAGGGCCAAAACCCAAAATCATATTCACCTATAAACTTTCTGTAATCCTAATTTATGGGTTTGGACCAGCCACTGCACACTAATGGTGCCTACAGTACAATGCAATGTAGGCTCTTGACCTCGTATTGTTTGCAATCACTGGGTCCAATGAAAGGTTTGAAGTTTTGCAAATCATTTGTGTTGGAAAATTGGTGGAAGAAATTGGTATCAATAATTACTCAGTTATTGGGATCACTTATGGTAAATTTGTGGTGAACCCGTGGATGCCGTCTCCGGTTTGTGCAACTTCCATAATCTGGAAAATGTCCAGCTCTTAGAAATCGACTTTAAAGTTGATTTTTGAGAAACCAACTTCCATAATCTGGAAACCATATTTAGTTAATTTGGAATAAGAATATCAATATTGGTCTAAATTGCCCATTCATCAAATTTCATAAATTCCGCAGGACCAATAAATTTCTGACAACTCAACTACATTACTTGTAGCATTGCCAATAGAACGAGTGTCTTTTATTTTTACCTTATGATTCGTGATACTCTTTTTCAGGAACTCAACCTCCAAGAGCAAACCAATATATAAACAGTGACAGAGAAGGCTGGCCAAATAAAAGAGGTTCTTTAACTAGTTATAGCCTACTATGCATACAATAACATAAACAGGAATTTACTTGAGTAGAGAAAGGCAAAGAGATTCTACCTCTTCATACATAAGATGGAATGCCTGCTTCACTGCAGCTCCAACATCCAAAGCAAAAACCTGTTTTTAAAGCAACACCACCGTAAGTAATCACTAACAAGGCAATAGCTAAAACATCATTAAAATAAAAAGAAATTTGGATATAAGTAAAGTAGAAGGCCTTCAAACCTTGCCTGAGTCAGGCATCAAGTCATATACTGTAGATGATGACAAATGCAGTGACAGACGGTAACGCAAAACATCAATCTCGTTGATTGGCAATTGAAATACAGGTTTATGAAGTGAGCCACCAGAAGGTGTCCCCTGGTTGGTTAACAACCAAACAAGCAGCAGATCACATACAAGAGTCAATGAAACAGGAAACCCTGTTTTGAGTCTTGAGTATTCCTGTATCAGTCTTTGCATGAATGTATGTGCATAGAGAGAGAGAGAGAGAGAGAGAGAGAGAGAGAGAGAGAGAGACTACTTGATTCTGATGTAAAGATTGAGCAGAAAAGGAAGGACATAAGATTTCTGTTTCCTCCACATAAGCCACGTTGTTAATCATTCCAAACCCATCCTGAACACAATGCTGTTCCTCATCAACTCGCCAGACATCATCAACCAAGTACTTATACTGCATTAACACATAGTACTGCATTATATCTGATGTAATGACATAACAGATTTACCTAGTATTATGTCACTAGAGAACATTATGGTATGTGTGAAAGTTCAGATAAATCACCAAACCAATTTGAACTAGCTCAGAAAGACATGCACACATTTGCGCATAGACAAGGATTAACTTAAGTGCTACATGTCCATGAATCTGCAGATTTCTATGATGAGCTCCCACATATACATGTTAATGCACATTCTCAATAACACTAGGCGTATATTTGCTGGAAACATACTGATGCATGTCCAGGAAGAAAGATTTTAGCTAAGTTTATCACCATATCCAGGAAGAAAATGCAGAAATCAGATTGTGCAATTCACAGAACCATGGCCAACTCAGGCTTGCTGCTTTCTACTTCTCGTGAATCCAACTAAATTTCAAATATTGCAGCACATCCTTCATCTATAAGTCCACAATTCTATCGAAAACATAATCACAAATACCACCTTTGATTGAGCACACTTAACTACTTTTACTTAAACTAACACTGCTAGCCCTATCAAACATGACTGCATGAAGATGAACATCGTAAAAATCCAATCTTTACCTGATAATAACCCGGCTGAAGATCCAAAATCCTCTGAAAAACAGTAGCACAACCCTCCACATTAATCATCTGTATCCTCTCTGTCCACCTAGAAATTTATATGAATAGATACTAAGCTGAATTAAAAGATCTGCTGAAATAAAGCTCAAAATTTGCTGAATTAAAAGATACTAAGCTGCAAAGAATCAGATAAGAAGTTTAATGAAAGGAATAAAAAAGTACCCATTAAAGGAACCACAAAGAAAAACTCTCCCGCCCCCATAACGCCAGGTAAAAACTTTGTGAACCATTTTAAAATCTTGAAATTCGTCAGCCGAATTTTGGACCAGGTTTCCTGAATATGTACATGGATGAATGCCTTAATTTATATGGGAAGAGAAAAACTGTGAAAGCAAGCTGGGTAAGAAACTTAAAAATATTCTGGGCCGTGAAGAATCCGCCTGCAAACCCCACTAACAAAAAATTAGAAGTGAGGAAAAGTCAGTCTGGGCTTCGATTTTTCCGATGGAGCCAACCAAAACTAGTACTAGTGAAAGTGAAGGAATCATTAAGTTATGAATTGGAGCTTGTCAGAATTTTGGATACAATCTTGCTTTGTGGATACGATGAGTTCATTAATATAGGTCTAGTGAATTTGGAGTTTGTGCTGGGAATAGTTGCAAAGATTCTGAGAGTTTAGGTTCTTTCTTTTTTTTTTTTTTTCCCTCTCTTTTGATTCTTCGTTCCACTTTCCTCGATGGGTTTTGGGTTTAAGAATTCGGTTCGACTAAGCCGTGCGATAAAGGCGTGATAATATGATTTAAAAGTAACCCGCCTTAGAGCGTGCCAGCTTCAAAGTCTAAAGGCGCGGTTGAAATTTTTATGCAGTAGAGACACGTCAACATTAGCCCAAGGGGTGAGGTCCGTAACAGATAAAAAGGGTGAGATTTATGAGTCACCCCTTAGATTACATGCAAATACATTTATTCTCGCAGAACGCGCCCAGATGTCACTTGCAAGTTGCAACCCTCAATTATCTTCCCAGACCAAAAAAAAATATTAAGAAGCATAAATGAATAAGGATGCATGGTAAGAAGGTGAATTCCGGACGGGCGAGCCGAGTCGAATGTATACGAACTCACCTGCCAAGAGGGAATAGTCGAAGTCTTGTTCTCCGATCTTACTCTGATACTTAAATTCGATATGGATTAAGTATTAGACGAGGAGTAAAGTAGTACGAGTAATAAAGAATATGTACCTGTGTTAAGGAAGAGGAGGTATTTATACTAAGAGCATTGAAGAGGTGATTTTTTGTGGGTAAATGGGCCGACCTAAATCAGTCCTCTCCGAGATGAAGTGAGGTGAATTCTCGTGTTCGAAGTGAACCTTTTTGTCCGAAGTGAGTGGCGGGGCTTCTCCCCTGGGATCACTCCGACGATCAAGTTAGTATGAGAACGAGAAAATGCTAAAGTATAAACAAATGAACAGTGTGCTTACTTATTGGGGGTGTATGTGGGGTATTTATAGGAGAGTAGAGGACAGGGCGGAAGGCTCATGCTAGTGGGACCCACTCTCTGGCATTACGGCTCTGTCTACTGTCAGAAAATCTGACCCTGACACTGTAGCCTACCGGGTATGATGACGGCGAGTACTGTGCAGGTGCCATTAAGTGCCTCCAATGCTTTTCAGATAAAGCACTGGTCTTGGGTGATGTCAGGTGGCTTGACATCATCAGCGTGCAGCTGAGGTGGAGGTGCCGAGGTCACCTACACGGTAGACCAGGGATCCGGCCGAACTCAGGAGTTATGCTCAAGACACGGGTGAGCTCTGATGAGGGACGAGGTGGATTCACCTTGGACATACGGGCTGGCCGAGGTGAGCATCCTCAATACAAGACGGGTGAGCTCTGATGAGGGACGAGGTGGATTCAACTTGGACATGCGGGCTGGCCGAGGTGAGCATCCTCAATAAGCCCCCCAAGCCTCGGGAGCTCCGGGCCAGGGAGGTACCGAGACTTCCATGTGCCGAAGTCATAAAGATTCGGGGTCCCGAAATTGCTCCGGAAGATGCGGGGACGTGACACGTGGGCGAGTCAGTTGACAGGACGTGGTCACTGGTAACCGTCGTGTCGTGAAGTAAAGGGACGTTTCGTGCAAAGAGAGTGTCAGATGAAGGGACGGGACATTAATGAGGAGAGAGAGAAACACGTCCTTTTGAATTCGAACGCGGCTGCCTCTTCGCATCCTTGCCGCCTCTTCGGATTCTTGTCATCCCCTATAAATAGGGGTCCTTTTCACCGCATGGCCCATCACTTTCCCTTCTGCTACTTGCAAAATTCGTGTGTTGCCGAGATCGATCCTGCCAGCCGAGATCACCGCCGAAGTCATCACCGCGTCCGATATCGTAGTCAATAGTAAGTATCTTTCTTTCTTTCCATCTCGTCTTTCACACATGGCAAAAACAGTTAAGACCCATAAAGAAACCGTGTCACCGAGCTACTAGACCGAGGTGAGGCCAGACCCTGAAGAAGTGACGACGTCCAGCTCTGAGGGGTCGACGCCGAGTTTTGAGGAAGGATCAGCCGAAGTGAGAGCCGGCGAGACAGGCTCGGGATTGGAGTCGTCCGAGATGAGCGAGGGTGGTTCCGAGGTCGACTACGATACCGAGCTCGGGACCGAGATACCTCGTGACGAGGGCGTACCGGAGCCAGTCGCTCCAAGGGACGCGGCCAACATCGACTTCGGCAAGATGCCGAAATTTAGAAGCCGCATAGGAAGAGATAGGGCCGAGAAGGTGATAAACAAGTACCCTTTCCAACCGGGGTACAAAATTACACCGCCCGGGGTGGATGACTCAGCCGAGAAGCCCCCCTATGACGCGGTGGCCATTTATATCCAACAGCTGGAGGCCGGGCTGAGGATGCCGACGTCGAGGTTCTTAAGGGATGTACTTCGTCACTTCGGCGTGAGGATTACTCAACTCACCCCGAACGCTGTCCGCATCCTTGTAGGCTTCGAGATGCTGTGCCGACATCAGGAGGTGACTCCTTCTATAGACCTCTTCCGCCGATGCTACACTCTCAAGGCGCACGGGACGGACAAGGGATGGTTTTATATCTGTAATCGGAACAACGACATCCCGAAGTTGGTGATTGGTGCTCCCAACTCGATTAAGAATTGGAAGCGCGATTACTTCTTCGTATCCGGAGTGGACTTCCCTAGGGGTTTTTGGTGGAGGCCAATCAAGGCAAAGGCCGACCCCTCTGCGGGGGACGCCGAGGAGGAGTCCTTCCAGAAGTTGATGAAGTCTGAGCTTCGGCTGTTCAGCCACGACTACCCCGAAGCCGTGCTCGTTGATGGGGGAATAAGTCGAGCCGTGATCAATACCACCAAGACTCCCTTCTTTTCCACTAAACTTGAGAAACCTTGTAATTTTCTTTCATAACTTTGCTTTCACTTCGGCTAAGACATATGATAATATTTGTTTCTTGTGCAGTGACTAAACTGTCCGACCTCGTCGTATCGGGCTCGTCCGAGGTGGCCAAGAGGCCGAAGAGGAAGAGCTCTGATGAGACGTCGGCCCCTCCGCCGAAGAAGAAGTCACAAGGGCAGGCTACCAAGACTTCGACGGCCAAAAACACTCCCACCTCGGCAGGACAAAGCAGCTCAGTCGCAGCGGCTACCGGGTCCACCTCGTCTGTGCCAGAGGGGGTGCCCCTCGGAGTCGTCACGGCACTCCCGCCTCCTCAAGGCCGAGGCAAACAGCTGAAGCCTCCGGTAAATGCAGTCTCGGGGACTTCGCTATGGAATCGTTTCCATAGCCCCCGGTGTTTCCCGGGGAGGAGAAGACTCACCCCGGTGAACATTGGTGTCCGAACTGGAAAGTGTCGGTCAACGACAGGTGTGGCCATTCTCGGGTTGCACAAGAGCTAGTAATGCACTCCACCTTGCCAAGGGATTTGGAGTTCATGAAGAAACTGAGCCCGGCCGAGATGGTTCAAAGTCTCATGGTGACCACGGCTTTCAACTCAGCCTTTGTGGCCGAGATGACACACCGGTATTGCGCTCTGGTCGAGGAGCAGGACACCGGCAAGCTACGAAATCAGATCTCCAAGTTGGAGAAAAAACTGGCGGTGTTCGAGTCTGAGAAGGCCGAGTTTGAAAGAAGGATTAAGGAGGCCGAGGTGAAGGATGAGGAGGCCGTAGCTACCATCAACAGCCTCAGATCGGCCCTCGAGGAAGAGCAGAAGATGGGGGACGAAATGAAGAAATCACATGAGCAAGCTCTCGAGGGTGCTGGAGTCTCGGCCGTGGACGCTTTTCGGAAGTCCGAGACATTCATCAGGGACCTCGGCCAACTGCTCACGCCGAACTTCATGTTTGGCTTCACATCAGCCATAGACGAGGCCGCAGCTCACCTCTCCTCCGAAGCCTTGGAGTCTTTGAAGAACCATGCCAGCTACAATGAGGACTCGAAGGAGTTATGCGACCGGATGGCCGAGGGCATCCAAGCTGGGAGGAACCTGGCCGAGGTCCAGGACGAGTTCAACAAATGGCTGTCCGAACTCGATGAAGTGCTCGAGGAGGGCGAGGAGGAGGATACTGAGGGAGACCTCGGCGCAAAGGTGGGCGAAGTTCCTGGAGGAGATGAGCTTCACCCCGGCGGGGAAGAGACCAGCGAGAAGGCTGCCTAGGAGGGAGCCAAGACCGTGGATGGAGCTGAGACGGGGGTCTAGGCTTGTGGGTCTTAAAGGGGTGGCCGAGATGGAGATTGTTTAGTAGCGTTCCGACCTTGGCCTTGTATTTTTTGTAACACCTCTTTTCTGTTGAATGAAAGTCTATTTCTTCTCATCTCAGCACTTTAATTTCTTATTTTGACTTCGTCCCTTGCTTGTCCCCCTTATTTTTTAATAGCGCAATATCGATGTTGAAAAATAACATAACATTCGAAGTCATAACTTGATTAAGAATTCAAGCATAATACAATTTGAGATTCTCGGCGTGCCAAGACCTCGACACTAATGAGCCATCTCGGTAACTCAGTTTACAATATCCCTTAAGGTCAGATTCCACAACTCGATAAGGGCCTTCCCATTTCGGGCATAATTTCCCTTGCGGTTCAGCTTGACTGACTGAGTTTTTTCTAAGAACCAAGTCTCCAGGATGGAATCTACGGTGTCTGATACGGGCATTGTAATAGTGTGCCAGTGTGTTCTTGTAGGAAGCTATCCGGGCTAAGGCGAGATCCCTTCGTTCATCGACGAGGTCGAGATCCAGCTGCCTCTCTTCGTTGTTCACCTCGGCGGCATAGGCCGCCAGCCGAGGGCTGGGGGTAAGGATCTCTGCCGGGATGACAGTTTCGGCGCCATAGGTCAAGGAGAAGGGGGGTCTCTTGCGTAGCTGACCTCGGCGTGGTTCGATACGACCATAGGACACTGGGGAGTTCCTCCACCCAAGATGACCCAACTTGGTGGAGTCGGGTCTTGAGACCATGCAAGAGAGTTCGGTTGAAGTTCTCTGCTTGACCATTGGCTTGGGGGTGGCCTACCGAAGTGAAATTTTGTTTGATGCCAAGGTTTGCGCACCAAGCTTTAAAGGGGTTCTCGACAAATTGCCTTCCATTATTCGAGATGATGACCTGAGCTATGCCGAAGCGGCAGACGATGCATTTTCAAAAGAATTTTTGAATTGCCAGCCCAGTGATGGTCCTCAGAGGCTCAGCCTCAACCCACTTGGTGAAGTAATCC